GTGACTCAGTTCAACCTGAAGACATTGGTGAGTTACAGTTTATGTTTTTGGGGTTTTTTTGGTACTGGGGATCAAACTCGGGACCTTGCGCTTGCGAGACAGGCGGCAGAACCACTGAGCTACATCCCCAGCAGTTTCTTATGTTTTTATATTCAAACTTTCTTACATTACATATACATGCATCTACACTTTTTTCCGGGTAACCTGGTATTTTGTCCCATCATGAACTCCACAGAAAGAAGGCTATCTTCCCATAATTATCTTCATAAAGTTTACAAAGTGCTGTGTTTTAATGGCTTCCCGGCCTTTCATGTGGTCAACATATCCATGTTATATGTCTATAAACACTGTAAGTGATATTCTTGGTGTCTCCATTTTTTTAAGATAAGTTAGTAGTGACAATTTAATTTTAGGCCCAAAACTTTAAATCCCTAGCCTGCATAGTGGAAGATACTGATGAAGAAGAAGTATGACTTGGGAATACAAAACTATCACTTTATTTCCTTAACAAACCTCCCTGCTAAAAAAAAAACAAAAAAAAAACCCTCCCTCCTTAACCTTTTATGATTAAAATCAATTTCAATGGTTCTCCAATTTAGCTACTGCAATCTTCCCAAAGAAGTACCATGAGTCCCCTTTTATTTCTTTTAATTGAAATTTTAATGGAAATAATATTCCTAGCAAAAAAACAGATCTAACAGACTAAACCAAGTGAAAATACTTCTGTCAGATAGACTCTCGGAAGAGATTCTGAACAGCATTTTCCTGAATGTGAAATCGTCTGCGATGAAATTTCACCATCTAGTGACCAAAGTAAGAATTTCCAGCTCTATGCAGATCATCAAAGTAAACGGAGCTGTTTTCATATAAGCAGTTAGCCAAACACTATCTGTTGCACGCTACTTATTTCTATTAAAGTACAGCACACTTGTTATGTCACTTTACTCACCAAGAAGCACTGAAGACACAGGTTTATATCCCAGCACATGCTTCCCTGCCAATGCCTCTTGCTGCACAGAGCCCCTGCTGAGCCCCCCTCCCACAGAGGAGGTGGGACGCGCTGTGCAGATGCCCAGACAGTGCAGAGAGTGAAGTCACAGAGAACTTACATGAGTCTAGAGAGAAAGCAATCCACAGAAGCAAGCCCTGTACTCCACAGTCTGCTTCAGAATAGAGAACTTGAAGGAAGAGAAAAGGCACCTGGCATTTGCATTAAATTAGAACAGATATAAAACAAAGAAAGAGAAACCGAAGGATGATAAGGTAAGTGGAGACTAGAAAAATCAGGACTAGAGATTTGAATGGCCCTAGAAGCCGCCGGCCCTGACTAATGCACCTCCACCTCTAAAGATTTAGAAAGCAAGAATTTTTACAGCATAATAAACATCGTAGTAAAGCTGCTTTTTCTGCTTGTGTTTCAAAAACTTCTTCATAAACCTGAATTAAGAGGAAAAAATGCTGGCAGAAGCTAATATTTTACCATTAACAAAGTTTATATTTCCTCCTGATAGAGGAAAATGCTTGCCGCATCTGACGCACGTTTATTCTATAACATGGTGTCCAAGTCCCTCCGCCCGCAGTAAGGAACAGCCCTGCTCCCAACGTAATGTCAGAGCCAGCTAGAGAAGCGCCTGGATCGCAAATATGTATTTCCTTAGCACTGCAAAGCAGCTCCCTCCAAACCAGTTAGTGTCAAGACAAAGGGCAAGGCAATTTATGTGTCCAGCAGAGAAATCACCTACTATTTGAAAGCGTAAATGGGACAGAAGAGAGGCGAAGAATACTATCATTAACCCGTGTGTGCTGCCTACACATGTGGAAGAGCCTGTGAAATCCACAAGCACACCCTGAATCCCAGACTGAAAATATGGCTAGAAAGGAGGCCTGCTTCACAAAGGGCTTTGAGATGTTTACTGAAACAAAAGCCAGGGGCAGGTGGTGTCGCAGGCCTGTACCCCAGGGGGAGGCTGAAACAGGAGGATCACCAAGAGTTCCAGCAAACAAAACAAATGAAACAATAGATCACAAAGCAGGCCACAAAGAAAGTCTCATGAATTTAATATTCAAGGAATTTAAAATGCAAAGATAAAGCATTTTAAGAAAGAGATGTAGTCTTACATATACTAGCATTTAGAAAGACAAAGACTAAAAATAAATGAGCTGTTTTACTCAAGCGGCTAGAAAAAGTAAACACTGAAAGAAAGGAAAAGGAACAGAGTAGAAATCAATGAACTGAAACAAAAGTGAGCACCCACAAAACCGACAGTGACTCTTCACTAGAGAAAGTCTGTTCTCCGGAGTCCACACATTCATACGCACACTCTCACGCACATACTATGGCAGGGACGGCTGGTCAGCCCCATTTCTGTCCTCCCCTCCCCTCCCGCAGAGCTTCCGGCCGCCATGTGCAGCCCCCCCGCAGGGTGCTAGTCCCAGAAACCTGGGGCCCCAGCCAGCCAGGCAGCCCACCCCACCATGCACTGCCTTATAAATGGTGTCACCTTGGAGCACATGGAGCACCAAGAAATCTTGGAAAGTCCTAGTCTGTGGTAATGGGACTCATGACTGCTAGCTAAGTCAACAGATGCTTGATAGACTTCACTTCAGTCTCCTTTCTGAGTTCTGAACAAAATAATGGAAGTGGAAGTGGAGAGCACAATCTCCAAAAACTGTCCTGAAAGAGGAGGGCACAGCTTTTCCTCCCTGCACTTTCCTCCTCCTTGCTAGTTGGAATGCAGTCCTAAAGGCTGGAACTGGGGCAACCACCCTGCCCTATGAGGTGCCCCAAGGAATGCAGGTTACACATGTGGAGGAGCTTTTTTTTTTTTGGTACTGGGGATCAAACTCGGGTCCTTGCACTTGTGCAGCAGGCACCAAAACCACTGAGCTAAATCCCCAGCCCTCATTTGATTAAATTTTGTATAAAAATAAGAGTTTTTAAAGAAAGACAGACAAGTAACAGACATGGAAGAGACCTACAACATATGACACAGGGACTAGATTCCATGATACACACGAGGCATACAACTGTAGTAGACACGTAACATATACGAATATATTAAAAATATACACGTGACCAGTATAACAAAAATGACAAAAGAAAAACCGGCAAAGACACGAACCAGCCCTGCCCAAGGGGTGGCCACAACGGCCAATCCCAAAAGCCCAGGGCTCCACGGGCACTCGGAGAACCCTGGCCCTGGAACTCCCTGGACATGACCTTTGGCACCGCACACGCCTGCCTCACTGCGGGGCCTGGCCGCTGCCCGACTCCATCAGTCTCGTGGTACCAGGTGGCATCACACCTCTAAAACCAGCTGGAAATCGGGAGCGCCGCTGGAGGGTGGGTTGCTGGACCCCATGGTGGATGCTGGAGGGGCGAGTAATAAACACAAATCAGGGCCAGGGATTTAGCTCAGTGGTTCCGCCGCCTGCCTCGCAAGCACAAGGACCGGAGTTTGATCACCAGTACCCTAAAAATAAATAAATAAATAAACACAAATCATTCAGCAGAGGGAGCAGGCAGTAAACGTGAGCTGTTATTATCAAGAAAACAAAAAATACCATCTCCCAACCATCAGAGGGAAAATGAAGAATGATGCTGGGGCCCTTGGGATCACATGAAGACTAAGTGACCCTCGCCATGTGCAGCCCGAAGAGCGCAACTGGCACAGCCACAGGTCACACCAAGAGCCATGCGTGTACACGTGACACACACGTACAAGGAGGGCACACGCCCAGGTCGCTGCAGCGACACGCAGGATGGGACAGGGCAGGGGATGAGGGGAACCTCAACGGCGCTGTACATTCACAATTCTCTTACTCAGTGAAGAAGAGAATCTCACTGAAGAGTCTTGAGACCAACAGGTTAAACTTCAATCTGACGCTTATCAGCACCCTAAAGAAGCCCTGGGGATGTGCTGAGCTTTCTCGCTGCACTACCTACACTTCATCGAAGCAATAAATGTTCACCGAGTGAAGACATCTTTGATCTCACCCACGGGAATCTGCTCTTCAAGGGAAACTCGGAAAAAGTCCCAGTGCGTTCTGTGTAACAAACGCGAGCAGCGAAACCCAGCCCAGCGGGCGCTTCCAGGTGCCCACACCGTCAGCCAGCAGCATGAGCTCCGGAAGTCCCCGGGGCCCACAGGAGCACCACTCATTCGCATAGGACTGTGACGTGTCAAAATGCCATGGCGACGGACAACAGGCCAAAGAGAGGCTTTTCTCCTCCAGAAGAAGCCAGGGTACAGCTGTCAGCAGACACTGCCAGCCCACAGCACGAGCTCCCCTCTTGGGCCACCTCGGGCCACGCCTGCACGACAGGCCAGGACAAGGAGGCAGTTATCTAAAACATCACCCTGATCCTGTTGGGGAAATATCTGTGCACACAGCCCCATTTATAAGATTCTTTGAAACGGCTAAAAAAGCTAACTATCCAAGAAACTTCTTTCTTAACAACAACAACAAAAGACTTATTCTTACTCTTTACAGCGACTGGAAGAGAAACCTGGCTATGGCAGCTGAGGGACACCCCCGGGCCAGCAGGTGCTCCCCCCAGGCTCGTAGCCCCAAGAAACAGCAGTGGCTGGCAGGAGGCCACAGGTCCCAAGGAGCCAGACCACAAACTGCAGGGAAGACCTAGTAGCCAGGAACACCTAGAACACAACCCTCAATGCCAGGCTCAAGAGTCCCCAGCCTATTATTCGGCCGTCAGCCACGGCCAGGCAGCCCTCCCCACTCTGCAAGCAGGGCTGCAGACGGAGAAGCTGGGCCAGGAGGCACAGCCACAGAGAGCAGAGAGAGGAGGCCTTTGGTTCCCTGTGCTGGGCTCCAGGCAGACTCGTCCATCAGCTCCCCACAAAGAGTCCGGCATTTCCTAACCTCCCACCTGGGGGTGTTTAAATGTGAAAGCAACCACATCTGAAAGACACTTCTAATTGTAAAAGTAAGTGCAGGAGACTGACTAAGATGCCAATGTGTATGCAGTCCTTCCATACCTTCTCTCCAGGTCTGGAGGCCTGCTGCAATTTCTCATAATCTTTCTTCGTCTCCAAAATTTTTTTCACAAGTCCACCTGTTGAAAATAAGTGGTTTTATGTTAAAGCTTTTTCTCTGCCCCAGAAGTTACTCCAAATGGGTGGAAGGATGGGAGAAATACTAACCTCTTGTCTTTTCTCTTTCTAGACTGAAACAGTTTTATAATCTGTTTGATAAAGACAGTGTATAGTAGAATGATACAACAGCTGGTGGCAGAAATTAACTATAAAATTTCAAAGTTTCAGAGAAATCAGCTGTGTGAAAGGTGGAAAACTTTAGAAACAAAAGAAACTCTCTATTTCCAAAAACTAAGAAGAAATGTAGATGAAATCCAAAAATATAACTACCTATTACAAACAGATACAACAATTCTGAATTGTTTCTAAGTGCTAATACTGCTTTCAAATTGGAGCAAGAATACCGAATTTCTTTTGCAATTACTCATGGGATAAATATATGAAAAATCATTTTCTTAAAAATGATGTCTTATTGTTTTGTGGGGTAGCAGTGTAGCTCAGTGATAGAGTGCTTGCCTAGCATGTGTGAGGCCGTGGAGATAGATTCTCTCTCTCTCTCTCTCTCTCTCTCTCTCCATATATATATAATCTCCAAACACAAATCAGTATGGAGCTGGTTGAATAATTATGGCAATCCACATGGTAAAAAAACATGAAGCTAGGAAGAGCGATAAAAATTATTTCTCTATATTGCAATGGAATAAATGCCAGCATAGACTGCCAAGAAAAGAACGAAAAGCAAGACAGAGACAAGGGCAGGAACTGATACTGATACACACACACACACACACACACACACACACACTTACTTATTTATTTTAAATTCTAGTCCTTGCTGTATTTTTCACTGTTACCCATAGGGGCCAGGCAAATACAGGGTGGAAGAGACAGAGGGCAAAGCCCCGAACCTCCACACCTTGTTTTATGTGCCTGACCTTAAAGCCATGTGAATATTTTACATGAATTTTTTAAAAGTATGAACATTAATGAAAGAAATTGAAAGGAAATCATCTTAAGAATATCACACTGGGGCCAGGGATTTAGCTCAGTGGTTCCACCGGCTGCCTCACAAGCACAAGTCCTGAGTTCGATCCCCGGTACCAAAAACAAAGAGTATCACACTGGCATGCGTCTGCTGGTAGAGAATTACTTTGCAACTGTACACCCCAGTGACTGCTTGTGTCCCGCTGGGACCTACGCTAACCTCGCCCCAAGTGTCCCTGTGGGAAAGAGCACTCCGACCGCTGACGCTGCTGGGCTCCAGGACCAAGGCCCGAGGGCGGGGCCGTGTGGAAGACCAGGACGAGGGCAGAGGCCCTGAAGCCTGAATCTGGCTGAAATCCTGACATGAGCTTGGGATACACTCCTCACAGCCATGCACAGCCTGCTGTCAGCCAAAGCCTCTACAAACCAGGACCAGCCCAAAGCATCAAGGAGCCCACCAGGCTCCTCTGGGAAAGGGGCAGACTTCACAGGGGCAGGAAAGGCCCAGAGGAGCCCGAGGCATCCCGCTGTGTGCAAGGACATCTCCTGGGATGTGCCCAGAGGCCACCCGAGAGACCGTGGCCAGGCTCCCTGGTCAAATGCCGAGCATTTCCAGGATCAATCATGAACACTGAGGTAGACTGAAAGGAAACACACCAGGCTTGTTAAAAATCCGTGACTTCATGAGACACCAAAAACAGAAACAACCAAAAAGGGCATCATGAGTCACCTGTCCTGGGCACCAGGAGACAAAGCCACCATTATGAAAATGAGTCAGTGTGGTGAGAACAGAGGATCCAGCCTCGGCCTCGGCTGTGCAGCTCTGCCCCTGGTACCCAAGGCCTGCATGGGAGGAGAGCGCCCCCTGTCCACTTCATGGGAAGCAGGTCTGGGCTGAGTCACTGGCAAAGCCAGCCAGACCCGGAGGCCCAGGCCCACCCACACCCGGCCGGGCAGCCTGACGGCGAGCAGGGCCCCTGAACAGTGGGCAGAGGGAGAAAGAAAGCAGTGAGCACCACGGCAGCCTAACAAGCACACCGACAGCAAGAGCCTCGGGGACACGGGCCACTCGGGGACACGGGCCAGCTGTCTCAGACGTATGCTTCCAGGCGGCCGGGACGCGGTGGCAGGTCAGTCAGTACAGCACAAGGACCCGACACACAGCCAGGGCACCATCCAGAGACGGGCACCGCTGGGAAAGCGGCTCTTTGATGATGCTGAGACATTGTTCTTCCTTCACAAGCAACCCCGGGAGTGTGGTTATGTTGTTTTCCAAGGGGCCCTGACCTGCAGAGATACACGTAGGCTTTCCCAGGCGAAAGGGCTGCAGAGGCCCAGGGAAACACGGCAGTCAATGCTGCCACCCGCCCACGATGGGCTTGGGCTCCTCCACTGTTGGCTCTACTCAGAAGCGTCTGAAACGGGAGCAGACATGCTTGGCAAGGCAGCGACTACTACTCCACAGCGCAGGCCTGGGAAGGGCCTCAGGAGCAGGTCCGGGCTCTCAGGTGAAAGCCCCACGGTGCCTCCCGGCCTGCAGAGAGCAGCAGGGCCGCCCTCCTGGACCACACCGGCCCGCATTCCGCCAGCCAGGCTGTCTCACCTCACCTGGACCAGAGCCCAGCACCACGGCCCTGGTACCAGACGCTTCCAAAGCGCCCCACAGGAGGCACTGCACACACACCACACACACGTGTGTCAGCAGCAGGACTTACCGTGCTTCCTGTCGTCCTCTAGCTCTGCTGCTGGCACCTGAGTAGGAACGGGAGGGACAAAGACGACTCAGCCACGCTGAATTCTCACGCTAAAACCATCTTCTCTACATCACCAAAAAGGAACGACATCAAAGCAAACAGAAAGCTAACTAAGATTAGAAAATCTGTCTATGTAACCCTGAAAGCTACAGTGCTAATACAACGTGTTTAAACAGAATTACTAGAGACACCGCCATCTGGTGAACTAACCATTTCGAGTTCTGACATTTGGGTGAGCGGAGGGGCAGCTTCCACCACAAAATGCTCATCCTCCTCGCTGTCAGAATTCCGTGACTCCATAATCACGTTGGGGACGGTCTTACCACTCCCCGCCCTGAACGAGAAGAAACGAGAAACAAGAAGACATTAACAATGCCACGTCCACATCGGTTCTCGTCAACCTGTGCATGCAGAACTGCAGCAGTCGCCCAAGAGGAACTGAGCCACACCATCGCCACCACGCAGAGGGGGAGCAGCCAGCAAGGTGATGAGGGGAGCCAGGGACCAGGAGGCTTCAGGTGGTGGCCCTTTTTCTCCTGCCTGCCCCCGCCCCGTCCGCCCCACAGGCCTGATCCGAATGACAGACCTCAGAGCGGCAGGCGCTGGCCCTGCAGGCCAGGATGCACCCAGACCCCCATCCGCCGTGGCGCTGTCCAGCGCCGCACTGACACACTTCCTGTCCACCCAGGTCTGGTCACCAATCAGCTGAGCCAGCACCCAACAACCTGGCCACCAGCTCCCGCCTCGTCCTCCCGGGGGAGGTGAGCACCTCCACCCAAGCCAAGGGCCGTCTGGTGCCTCTGGGGCCACCAGGCTCCACCGCCCTTTCTGCGGAAGCACAGGCCCACCGCTCACGACCAGTAGCCCTCCTGCCTTCGCGCTTCCCTGCGTACCTAACACAGTCACACTGCACGCACCCTCCTCAGCTCACGGCCACATCACAGTGGCACACGTGCCTCGTGCATGTGCATGCACGTGTGTGCCCCATGCACACACACGCACACCAGCTCCTCTGCTTCTCTCTGCGGCCAAACTCCTGCGTCAGCTCGTCCGAGCCCGCCATCTCCGCACATCTTGCTCCTGCTGCACACCCGCTGTGCCCAGCCTGACCCAGCCCATGTCTTCCCACCGCTGTGACTTCTGGGCCAGCTCCTCTTTTTAACGTTCTGTGCACCCGAGCCTTAACCCTTTTTCTCCTATATTTTCCTCATTCTTTTTATGGTTAGAAAGACTTCTATTGAGGGATCAGAGAAACAAAGCCTGGGCCTTAACTGTATATCTGTGTACGCGTCTTCACCTGGATGCATCTGAAGTGCACACTGCACTTCTCTCTGCCCAGCACACATGGGGCGCCCCACCCCAACTCGGCGTGGGCCCAGGCCGTTGCCCTCGGCCCCCCACGTCCACATGCTCGAGCCAGTCTGCCTCACCGGTCCATCGTTAACGCCTCCGTGCTCTCCTGTCGCTTGACCCGGGGAGGCGCTGGCCTTGCACTGCCTGGCCGAGGAAGTCTTCTAAACCCAGAAGGAAGAACAGCAATGAAGAACATGAACACGTTTCAGAGCGGACCAGAGAAGGCCAGGCCAGCACCATGCTACTTCCCACATGCCCTCGGCCGGTCGGAACGCCCGCCCCTGAAGAGCTCCGGACATCCCACCAATGCAACCTAGCCGCGGCGATGACCTCCCTGAACCTGTGCAGCGCTCTGCATATAGTTAAGTGACCCGGGTATGGAAAATTACGTAGGTAGCTTTATTTCCTGTTTTCACTTGATCTTAGCCAAAAGGCCGAGAAGCGATTATTTCCTATTTTCTTTCTTTTCTTTTCTTTGTTTTGCTTTTATTGTTTGTTTGGTTTTTTTTTTTTTGGTACCAGGGATCGAACTCAGGACCTTGCGCTTGCGAGGCAGGCAGTGGAACCACTGAGCTAAATCCCCAGCCCTACTGTTTTTTGGTAGTACTGGAGATTGAATCCAGGGCCTTCACACTGAGTTAAATCCCCAACCCTTTTAAAACCTTTTATTTATTTTGAAACAGGGTCTTGATAAGTCATTAAGCTGCCCAGACTGAGCTCAAACTTTCGACCCTCCTGCCTCAGCCTCCCACAGGGTGCTGAGATTACAGGTGAGTGCCACCACATCCAGCCAGTTTCCACTTTCTTTGTACAAATAATTCCCCATCGTTTTTCATGAGCACTAAATAAACAGGGAAACGTACAACGAGAAGCCATAGCCACATCCTCGGTGTAACCACTCTGCCCAGGCCACAGGCCACCACACACAGACCTGGCACTGGACGGAAGCTCACTGGGGACTTCAGGGTTCTCTGACACCTCAGGCTTCTCCGGGAGAGGAGGCCCAGACCCAGGTCCAGCTTCTCCTTCTACAAAGGTGACAACACAATCAGCAATTCACAAAAAACTAGTAATATGTAATTCAATATTAATTCAAACAGATTTAGTGATTTAAATATAAATGTTAATTCAAATATTTGATTCAAATGTAAATATTTGAAAAGGCAGCACTCACATGACTGCAAATATAAATGAGTTATTTTTTATCCATTATTTCAATGAAGAAAAAACATGTCTGCTATTTAAATTTGGTGAAGATTTGGGGACACAGGTACGCTCAAACTCTGGAAATACAAACCAGTTCAATTACTCAAGAAATAAAAGTGCAGGGCTGGGGATTTAGATCAGTGGTTCTGCCGCCTGCCTCACAGGGGCAAGGACCTGAGTTTGATCCCCGGTACAAAAAGAAAAGAAATAAAAGTGCAAAAGGTAGGTCCATCAACTCAGCAATTTAACTTAAAGGAAATATACTAAGGAAAGAAATGGACGGGGTAAATGTCCATCTACCAAGATGTTCACCATTACCACTGACAGCAGCAACAATCAGAAACTAAGGCTATTACGGAATTGTCTCATGCTAGACACTTCTGTGTAAAGCAGTGTCATCATTCTACTATAATTAATAATATCGCCCAGTAACACACCTAATAATTACATAGAAACTTTTGGGGTCCTACCAAGATATTCCTTTATGTTACAAGCAATGGAATTACCAGTGCTTTTTATTTTTTCTTCATATTTTTTGTATTTTAAAAATGTTCAACATTGGCTATTGCCATATTGTTTTAATAATCTGAACATACCTTTCTCCATCTTAATAAAAAGCTTATGGGGCTGGGGATTTAGCTCAGTGGTTTCGCCGCCTGCTGCGCAAGCACAAGGACCCAAGTTCAATCCCCAGTACCAAAAAAAAAAAAGCTTGTGGGCCGGGGATTTAGCTCAGTAGTTTCACCGCCTGCCTCACAAGTGCAAGGTCCTGAGTTTGATCCCCAGTAC